GGCGGGAGGTGCAGGCAGGGGGTCATCCCGAGGAGGATGCTCTCACCCGAGTTGCTCAATCTGGGAATATTTTTTTTTGCCGTGCTGCTCACTGCTTGCAAGTTTATGGAGGGTTTTTCGCCTCCACGCTGGCCACCCATGAGTAAGATTGGAAGTCTGCTGCTGTCAGCCCTGTGCAGGGTCTGGGAAGTCTCACAGAGAAGCTGGATCTCAGGCAAGGGCCATCCTACCACCAAGACATAACTTGTAGCCAGTTCAGGGCAAGGAGAGAGCAACTGCCTGCAAAAAATAGCAGAAGCATAGCTAAGACTGTCACCTTCCCATCCACAATGAGCAAATCCTTCATTTATCCTCTTGCAGAATTAATCCCTGCTATAAAAGCAGGTATCTGCACCATCTAATTCATGCACCTTCCATCTGATGCTGAGCTGTCCAACACAGTGCTTGCATCACCATAACCTTCACAATAGCAAGTAAATCATTAGAAAGAGATGAAGCTCTTTTCTTCCTCTGGCAGCAGAGCTGCTCATGGTACTTCTGTGTTGGCTGGCATCTGCCATGGTAGCACCTTTCAGCAGTCTAGGGAAGAGGACCCTTGTCTGAGACATTGCCCCAGCTTGTATTCTCCATTATCATGGTTCTTGTTGGACTCACTGGTGCACATCAGTCCAGATTCTTCATTATCATGGTTCTCATGGACTGCCAGCACCACAGAACTTCACAGGGTGGCTCTGCAACAACCATTCCCAACATCACCTTGAGAGGAAAACAGCATTTGCTGCTTCATGCAACTTCAGAGAGAACTTACAACAGCAATCCTCACCATTGGGTTCTTCGTTTGACACAGCACAATAGGGATAATGATGATGGATCAGCAGATCTGGAGGAGGGTTGTCTTTCTGTGTTGCCAACACCCACCCGAGTGAAATGGAATCGACACCTCACAAGTTGTTCTGACACCAACGCCCGCCCGCTGGCACATCCCCACCACAGGAAAGCAGCAACTCTGAGCTGACTCTAGAAAACACATCCCTTGGTCACAGGACCCATTTGCTGGAAGCAGACAATAGGAATCCAGTTTTAGCTCCTTAGAATCTAATCAGAAATAGTGAGGGGGTGGGGGTTTAATCCCAGGTAAAGCAGATAGAAAACCCCAGCAGGGATATGTGAGGAGCTTGCAATGGCAAGAGCTCCCATGCTCTGAAGGCTTTAATATCATGTTACCAAAGACAAACTCTGAGCTCCTGAGCACACTTCAGCACACTGGATACCAGCCAGTTTCCAGTCTTCATCAGCAGAGAGCAGCAAGAATTGTGTGGGCCTTCTTAGAGTTTCTTATTCTATCAAGAACAGGACACCCCTGATGCACAGCTCACATCAACTTATAGATCAATAAGCAGTCAGACAGCATGGAACAAAGAGGCCTTTTAATATCTGACAGTGAAAGCTGGCCGTACAGACAAAATCACTACATGAAACTGAAAGACATACTAACATACACAATAATACCAATATCCAACTGATAGCATCCATATGTCTTCTGCCTCAGACATGCTGTCAGGACATCAAGTGCTTTACTGTTTGTTCTTAACTAGTTTAGTTGAGTGATCTCTAAGTCCTGTTCTCCTTCATTTAGATAAATAATTTGAACAGGAATTTGCTTAGCCAAAGGGACAGAAGGTCATTTTCCAGGAGGGGCAGATACTCACAGATCACCCTCTCATTGCTAGTCAAATTTGTTTTACAGTTGGTTGCCTGTTCAAGTACCAAAGAGTAAACTGTTGAAGAGGGTATGACTGGTGTAAATGCCATCAGCTCAGCCCTCTGCTTTCTGGTGTCTCCAGGCACTCATTCAGATGACAGAGACATCTAAAGAAAAACACATTTTCCTTCTTTCTTTTCTCTTTGGGTTCAGTCTCTGCTGTTCTGCTTTGCCATCTTGATGCTAACAAACCAGGGCAAGCTTTTACTTCATTCCCCTTTCTCCTGCACATCCTACTGCAAGCTAACTTTGGCAGACTTTCAGAGTGCTTCTAATCACAGCTCCCTAGATCATGCGAGCGTTTGCTTCCCATTCACCACGATCTGATTTGTATTCTCTGAAGGCAGTGAGTCACTCAGAAAAACACATTGTAATGTGTTCTGCTTTCTTCTTGCTTGCACAGACATGAAATGCCCTTTTCCTGGGCTGAAGGGTTCCACAGTCTGTGGCCAAGACATGTTTGACTGGCCAGCTCTCAGCCTCTCAAGTCTGCAGGTCAGTTAGGTTCTGTTTGAAAGTTTTCATAACTCTTTCCAGGATCAGAGGCTTTCTCTGTCCCTCAGGTTATAGGTTATTCCACTCTGCTCTTGATGGCATAGAATTCTTCTCCTTCGTAACAGCTTTGTGCTCAGAGCTGACCTGTTAAGAGCTTTCTTCATCACTGGCTCAAGTTTGCTCCCTTGCACCTCAAGTAGTCCTCTTCTTTTGGAAGACTAAAGCTTGTTTCCATTTAAGTCTAGCACAGAATTCCCCTTGGAACTGAGATGAAATCAACAGAGCTCCATGCAGAGGTTATAAGAATGCCCAAAGGAGCTTTCCTGACTTGCAGGACAGCTAGACTGCAGGACAAGCAGCATTCTGTACATGCCCTGCTTCTCAAGCTCTTTCCAAAATTGCCTCTTGCTATTGATCTTTGTTAGGACATGGGGCTGGGTGGATCTTTCATATGAAAATATTTGACATTCCTATGACATGTCACTGACGTAAACAAAAGTTTTCTTGAAAGATATTAATTGTAGAATCATATCTAGCTCCCCCCCCCTTCCTCACTTGGGTAGTTCTACTGAAATCAGCAGCTCTGTTTATACAAGTTGATGTACACAAGCTCAGCATCATGGCAGAGTCTGTGCATGTTCTTTGCCAATGCTTGTTTTAAATAGTACTCTGCTCAATCTATTAACTGCTCTTCAAATTTCACTGTCTTTGCTTTTTGAATTGCTGCACTGGACTTCTCAGCTCCTTTTTTTTTTTTAATTTTTGAGACATCAGAGAATGACATTTCTTTGCCAATAAATCCCTTGATTAGCAGACAAAGAGCCAGGCCAGCAGGATGTGGCCTGGCATCACACTTGCTCTCCCAGCAGCCCACGTTCAGTCCCAGCAGCAGAACTACAGCAAAATAATCTTGCTACAGACTGGTATTTTGATGCTTAAGAGATAAACTTTAGGCAAACCCATTTTTGGCATTTTGACCCCAGCTGTTAATCTGACACTAAACAGCGTCAAAATGACTCTACTGTCTTCCAAAAACTTTCTCAGAAAGTGCTTTGCCTACAGAAAAGTAGTCAACAGAAAGGTTGCTGGCCTTGGCTTCACAGAACTGTCTTGCTTTTTCCTTGTGATCTCCCCATCTCCTGTCTGTGGTTGCCAGGTCAGAGGAAACAAACACCTTTTTGCTCTTTGTTTGCCCAGCTCCAGCTCAATGCAGCTTTGGAACATGCTGCCAGCTCCTAGACACTTATGGCACTCATGTAACCATCACAAATACAAGAAAACCCTCCAAGTAATAATAATCATGCCATAAGTCAAAGAAAGTGTGTTGTTACACAAGAGTTTTTACCTAAATTTGAGGGACAACTTTTGTTTTAAACATGCTGATAAGCATTTGATAAATGCTTTGTGGAACTATTTAGAACTGGAGTCACATTAAAGTTTTTTGTCAAAACTTCTCATACATCTGCTAAATGCACACAGAACCAAAAGCTCTGGTTTGCCTTGGAATCAATTCAGTGAATTGTGGAATATATCAGA